CTTGTATGGTCAAAGATTTCGTTTGAGAACAGACCACGCAGCGTTGAGATGGTTATTACAATTTAAAAGCCCAGAAGGACAAATCGCTCGATGGATAGAAAGGCTACAGAACTATGATTTCAAAATAGAGCACCGGAAGGGTGTCCAACATGGAAATGCTGATGCGTTATCGCGACGACCTTGTCAGTTAGAGTGTAAACATTGCAGTAAAAATGAATTAAAGGAAGGAATCGTTGATATTCGTTTGACAAGTTTACAACCAGCAGAAGATTGGAACCCAACCAATATAAGAAGCAGTCAACTAAAAGATCCTGATCTTACAATGTTACTAAAGTCCAAAGAAGAGCGATCACGGCCAACCAAGGAGCAGATATCCTCCGAAACCCCCACTGCAAAGGCATATTGGGCACAATGGGACAGCATCCATCTAGTCAATGGGGTCCTTCACCGTAGTTGGGAAAGTGAAGATGGCAAGCGTTCTCGACTCCTAATTATCGTTCCGAAATCCAAAATTGCAAATGTGTTAGAAGAGTTTCACGATGGGCCAAGTGGAGGGCACCTTGGAATCACAAAAACTTTAGACAAGATCAAACAGCGGTTCTATTGGGTTGGTTGCCGTGAATCGGTAACGGAGTGGATTCGAAATTGCTCAAATTGTATGGCAGCAAAAGGTCCTAAGGTAAAAAGCCGAGGTAAGCTGCATCAATATAACGTTGGAGCACCATTTGAACGAGTTGCCATGGATGTAGCGGGCCCATTTCCAACCAGTGATGCCGGGAACAAATATTTACTCGTTGTTATGGATTATTTTAGTAAGTGGCCAGAAGTATACGCTTTACCGAATCAAGAGGCAAAAACAGTAGCAGAAGTGTTTGTACAAAACTGGGTAACAAGATTCGGAGTCCCAATAGAGTTGCACTCCGACCAAGGTAGAAACTTCGAATCTACAATATTCCAAGAAATTTGTACAATGATGGGCATTAGAAAAACAAGGACAACGGCTCTGCATCCACAGTCAGACGGCATGGTAGAAAGATTCAATCGGACTCTAGAAGAACATTTGCGAAAAGTTATAAATAAATGCCAACGAAATTGGGACAAGCACATCCAAATGTTTTTGATGGCATATCGATCGGCTAAGCATGAGACAACGGGTCACACACCAGCGCGTGTGGTTTTTGGATCTGAATTGCGGCTTCCTTGCGACCTTAAGTTTGGAGCAACTAATGCGGTTGAGCACAGTGAAGAAAACTACTGCGATATGATGAAAAACGAAATGAATGAATTACACCAACAAGTAAGACAACACAGCCAGCTGATGAGTAATAAGATGAAAGATCGATTTGACCGAGCAGCAAATTCTGAGGGATTCGAAGAAGGCGATTTGGTGTTGCTATATAACCCCCAACGTAAGAAAGGTTTATCTACGAAATTACAAACATCTTGGGAAGGACCGTATATGATTATGAAACGGTTGAATGACGTCGTGTACCGTATCCAGCGTTATGGAACGACTTGTTGCAAAATGAAGGTAGTGCACCTGGAGAGGCTTGCTCCGTACGGCTCTAAAGGATTTGTGCCTGATCGGGTCGATCAGGCTTAAGTGGAAGGCAGTGTAACAAATCTAGTCTGGCAATAACATCGTACAACACGGCAACACGGCGAGTTGGCAAGAAAGAAGAAAATAACAAAACAGAAAAGAAGAAGATGTCTGCTGTCTAGTCGAAGAGTAGTTGAGTTGTTGACAATCCCGCGATTCGAACGGAAGCCCAAAGATAATTTGTAAACCATACATAAGTTCATAAATATTTTTAATTTAATAATTTTAGTTATATTTATATATATTACGATTAATAAAAACGTAACAATACATTCATTCTTTTAAAATATTAAAATGCATAAGGTATTAAAAATTATTATATGTAGATTATCCAATAAATAAATTATTAGATGTAGTTATATGTAAATATATGCAGAGTATAAATTAGTTACGGATGGCAACACTGTATTGTTTCTATTTGGGTATTTTTCCGATTTTCTTCTGCACCTCTTTTCTTCATTTTAATTCCAATTCAGTAGCTGTCGGGAGTAAGTTCTGACGAATTTGCTTCTAAGTTCTGTGTTTATATATAGTTTTTTTCAAGTGATTATTGGGAATCTCCACATATAAAGGATAATCCCGGTAAGGAATTTAAGATAATTTGTGTTGTAATCATTTATTCAAGTGAAATGCAAATCATTTTGATTTAACCAAAATTATACTTGTGCAAAGTCATGCTGTTTCTAGAGGTGTCAAAATTTGTACCTCCTAATATTTCTTACTTTTCTCTTCAAGTAATAATAAGTATTACTAAAGGTTTATAATGAATTTACTTAATATATGTTAAAAATAACTCAGTGCTTCACCCTTTCTGTTAAAATAGAACTTTTAAAATTTCCATATTTACAAAACTTCTTTTATTAAAAAAAAAAACAAAATACCGTGATTTGATGCTCGATTTTGGTGAAATTGACTTTCTACTTACTATATACGATATAACATAGTTTTTAATATGTCTGTCTATAATCCTAGTGGGACGGAATAGGTACCATTGTAAGTTTTGCACTTTCCAATTGCAACAACTTTTTTTCACCTATATCACAGCGGCCTGCAATTTTAGAAGTTCTCTAAAATTTTTTAAAGTTCTTTAGCAGGTGTAATTACAAATTAGAACTTAAAAACAAATCATACTTTATATAATTGTACCTCTGTCGCCTTTAGTTCTATTGGTTATATGTTGCGTCTTCATAAATAAGTCGGATTTATCATCTGTTGCACTTTTTTCCATATGTTTTTACCATTTGGTATGATAGCCGATACATAGCATTGTTAAAAAAAAGTTATAAATATTGCATAAAGTCTCTCAACCATTTATTCTTAGCTGTCCTAATCAAGTGGTGTACAATTTTCTTATCTTCGCAACATTTTTAAAAAATTTAACAATAAAAGCAATATCCCTCTCTGAAATGGCGTATATGGTTTTACAATCATCGGAAACTAGTATAGAACACGTCCGAAAATACTTTCTTAAGGTACATCTGCATATACAATATCAACTATTGAAAAAGTATAATCATATAAAATTTGGTAGTTAGTACCATCCTTCTATAAACTTATTGTAAAAGGTCTCAGAATAGTAATGTTAACACTGATCTCAGCTATTTTTGTCTAAGACAACTGCAGAGTATACCTTTCTTGTCGAAAAGCTTTCACTACAATCTCAATAATTCTGTGAATCTAATAAGATGGAAATAGGTTGCTTCCAAACTGATAAACTGAAATAAAATGTCTAGATAGGTTTTAGTCGAGTTTATGGTAGATAAGCTTTTTAAACGGCTTTGACTATGCGATTTTGATGTCTTAGTTTAGATATGGGCTGTATATGACCATTTGTCTTTAGTTCGTTTAGATCTAAAGACATTTACTCTTATTGATTATTTTCATCGATTATACTGGTTTGTGGAAGGTTTTTAGTACAAGAAATGATTGCTCACATCTCATGTTCAAGTTTTTTATTCATAGAAAACAGTTTGTGACGTTTGCAAATTATTTAATAATAAAAGAAATCAATAACCACACCTATTTTGACAGTATCGCTGACCCAATCCAGTATCGTTATCAGATTTTATACAAGGTTTTAAAAAACCTGTAGTTTGTTACTCTTGAAGTCATTATATTGAAATCACCTCTAATTACGAGCCGGCTATTGAGCATGTTAATGAGGGACATACATTGATCGAATTTATTTTAATGTCTAGGATGACTGTGTACTACAGTTAGCTTAACTTCTTGAAATAGTGGTCCGTTGAAACAAACTTATAACTATTTGTATGAAAGACAGAATTTCAAAAGCTTTAAGATTAATATCTTATTAACATTAAATAAATATTTTTATATTTCATTTATATTTTACTATTAATATTAATTTAGTTCTCAATTTCCTTAGAGAAATGAACGAGTTGCAAAAAATGGAGAATACTAACCCGTAAGTGTATTAATTATATTGAAAACATTTTTTAAAGAGGTTTCCATCGTAGTGGACCCTTAGACGAAAATCACGCTAATAACGTTGGTCAGAGCTCATTTGAAGCACCGGGTACTTCGTCAAAGAGGCAACTTGATGATGATGACGATAATATGCCATCAAGTTCCAAAAAGTACGCTAGTGAATTGAATAATTTTATTTAAAACAAAATTTTTCTTATTTTGGAATTTTTTATCCACCAGGTTTAAATCATCAAAAGCTTCATGGATATATAAGGAATCTAAGAATGTAGTACCATTCAACATCTTTGATTTGGCAAATACTTTACCATTTAGGCTTCCAATTCAAAGGAATGCATTATGTGATCGACGGATGAATATTTTTGAAGCAATTGAAGATAACGATTTTAATTATAGAAGACTCTATACACCATCAATTGATGATAATTCTTAGACGAATTTTATGTATTATCTACGATTTGCAAAAAATTGTATTAATTTGAATATCATTTTATTTAATAAAATCTTCTATGGATTCGTAAATTTTTACGAGAAACAAAGTTGAAATTGTAATCACATTTAGTAATCAAGGTATAGACTGAGTAATCACGACAAGACATATCAAAACCATGCAATATTATGCTGAGTTTCCTCTTCAATTAAAAACAGGTCTTAAATTCTTACATATTCATATATATATATATATATATAAATCCATTTAAGAATAGAATGTACGTAGTTACTTGTTAGTTTTTTATAAATTCCACTGAATATGCATATGAATCCAACTTTACAAATAGAATTTTCTATAAGTACCATCCTCAACTAATGGTAGTGATTATATGTATGTATTATCAGCTGATAATACCGATAGGATAATAATTATTATCTTATATTCTAAATGGATTATAAAAGTGGATAAAAAGGATAATGTTAGGAGTAAGCATACTTCGTTTCTTATGGTACTAATGATAAATCTAATATTATGGCCCCAATTTTAAAAATATTTCATTATTAAATTATTTACAATACACTATTTTAAAGACAACATTACTTACTTAGTTGGCAATTACGTGAGTCGTCCTTGGCCGCGTTGAGTAGCCTCCTTCAGCTAGCTCGATTAGTTGCTTGCTATTATCAGTTGGTAGTACCGAGCACCCCCAAATCGGTGATCACCTGGTCCTTCCACCAAAGATGCTGACGTCTTCTACCGCATTTTTCAGCGAAACCGCTGAATTTTTATGCACTTTTATGTCAATGTCGCGATATAGCTCATACGGCTAATCGTTCCATCTAATTCGATACTTGTCGTTAACGCGTAAGGAAGCATAGACGTTCCGAAGAATTTTTCTCTCGAATGTTCCTAATACAAAAAAAAGACAACATTATTTAGCAATCATTTCACAAATATTGTTATATTTAAGGAGGTTCGTAGCGATCCTATTTTGAAGGGCAAAATTCGCTCTTTAGGGCTTTGCTGAAAATGCATGTAATGCAGAGTGTCACATCAGTGTTGTCAATTTTGTATTTTTACAGTGTTTTGGTACTTCTTGGTTATATCTAAATTTAAAAGGCCCCAAGTCAACATTCAAGAATGAGTTATATGGAGTTTACACTGGCTGCAAATGACTCACTTTAAATGAGTCATTTGAAAGTGTTTAGATTCGTTGTTATTCATTTGTTCTCGTTTCAAACAGCTGATTTGTCAACGTGCCTATTGATTTAATTTTGGCCTATGCCAAAAAAATGTTAGATGAAGATAAAATATATAACATCAATTAAAATATAAACTAAAAACTTATTTTTAACTTCGATTAAGTACTTTTTGAGAAGTAGAAGTTTCAGAAAGAGGTGCATTGTATTCAAGGAAATTCAACCACCAAATATTTGTTAACTTTTTTTTGTAAATATGTCAAAAACAACTTTCTCAAACTGTCAAAATGCCATAAAAAACTTTTATGTTCAATGTATTCATTTGCGTTTGAAACTCATTTGAAACTCATTGTTATTACGCATATTAAGGTACAATGCATCAGCTGATTTCTTATAGCACAACTAATTCAGTCTTAACAAGACGAACAAAAAAGTGTTTCACTAAATATTTATGCCTTTTACGATTGGTAAATCTGGGATAACATTTTCAATCAAGATTCACTAGTGTGTTTTTACAGTTGTAACTCATTTGAAACTCGTTGTTATTACCTATATTAAGGTAATATGCATCAGCTGATTTCTTACAGCACAACTAATTCGGCCTTAACAAGACGAACAAAAGTGTATTTCACTAAATATTTATGCCTTTTATGATTGGTAAATCTGGGATAACATTTTCAATCAAGATTCACTCCTAATGTGTTTTTTATTTTCAATTGGAGAATCTTGAGCGAAAAGTGTAACTTTTGAGATTAATTTATAACACTCGAGGTATTTTGTCAAAGTAGCATACGATTACTCTGAAGTTAACATCTGATTCAATATATATATTTATAACAACAATATATATCTACTAATACATTTATTGTTAGATTTACATTAGATTACTCTTAAAATGTTCGATTGAGCAACAAAATTCGACAGATCGGGACTAAATATGGACTAAATCTAGATTTACAAATTGAAAAGGCTAATATTATCTATCATATCAAAAATGGATCTTCTGTCTCGATATTTGAAAAGAAGTTTATATAACATATTTTAGATGTCGATAAATCAAATATTATTATTTTCATATTCATTGATGGCCAAGGAATTTCTATCGATACCTTGGTCAATAGATGTCAATATTAAAAAGCCTATTTCTTGTGATTATACATTCATTCTATTAAAATATTAAAATGCATAAGGTATTGAAAATTATTATATGTAGATTATCAAATAAATAAAATATTAGATGTAGTTGTATGTAAATATATGCAGAGTATAAATTAGTTATAGATGGCAACACTGTATTTTTTCTATTTGGGTATTTTTCTAATTCTCTTCTGCACCTCTTTTCTTCATTTTAATTCCAATTCAGTAGATGTTGGAAGTAAGTTTTGACGAATTTGCTTATGAGTTCTGTGTTTATATATTCTTTTTCAAGTGAAATTTGGAAATCTCCATATATAAAGGATAATTCCGGTAAGGAATTTAAGGTAATTTCTTTTAAAATCATTTATTTAAGTGAAATGCAAATCAATTTGATCTAACCAAAATTATACTTGTGCTTATACTTGTATTATAGAGTCATGCTGTTTCTAGGGGCGTCAAAATTTTTTCCCACTAATATTTATCACTTCTTTTTTTGATATAACAGTAAATATTACTAAATATTTGTATATTGAAATGATTTTATTGAGCCTGTTCGACCAGTGTAAGTAACTCAAGTGAAATTAAAAGTAATTCAGTGCGTGGCTACTTTGTTAAAACAGGGAATTATATACTTTCTTATGAATGTAGGTATTACTTCTAGAAATACTATAACGATTTAATGGTGAATCTTAGCAAAATCCACTAATTTCAGCAACTTTTTTCAGCATATGGTTGTCGTGGAGTTCACCTCACAATCTTCGCGTTTATCCCATAAATTGTTGGTCACCGTCTTGGTGATTTCCTCTATTATCCTAAACAGTTCAAATATCGGTATATGTATTGAGAGATCGGCCTCTCTTATATGCATTCAGAACCTCTTCTGGCGATCTCATTTGCTAGTTCATTCCCTTCAATATTGCTATGTGCAGGAACCCAGCAAAGAGAGACCTTGTGATGTTTGACGCTCATCAGTGAGGCCTAATACTCCTTAGCAATTCTAATGATGTTATCTTGAGTCTCCGCAAATAAGTTGAATTAAATAAGCAAATAAGTCTGTTGTATCTTTTTGATATCTTTATACCATTTAGTAGGGTATCCGATACATGGCTTTGATAAAAAAGATATAGATATTGTATTAATTCTCTTAACCATTTATTCTTAACAGTCTTTTAAAAATTTAATAATAAAAGCAGACCCTCTATCTAAAATGGCTTATGTTGTTTTGCCATCATCAGGAACTAGTATAGAACACGGTTCGAAGATACTTTCTTCAGATATATCTGCCTATCAACTATAAAGATGAAGAAGTACAGTCATATTAAATTCGATAGTTAGAACCATTTTTCTATAAAATTAGCTAAAAGGTCTCAGAATAGTAATGTTAATACTGATCTCACCTATTTTTGTCAACGCAAACTGCAAGACATACTTTTTTTGGCAAAAGATTCCTCTTTAATCTCAATAATTCTGTAAACCTAATTCAACACAAATAGATCAAAAGCAACCGAAACTGATAAACTGGAATCAAATGTTTAACGAATTGCAAAATATGGAGAATACTAACCCGTAAGTGTGTTAATTATATTGAAAACATTTTTTAAAGAGGTTTTCATCGTAGTGGACCCATAGACGAAAATCACACTAATAACGTTGATCAGAGCTTATTTGAAGCACCGGGTACTTCGTCAAAGAGGCAACTTAATGATGATGATGAAAATATGCCATCAAGTTCCAAAAGGTACGATAGTGAAGTGAATAATTTTATTTAAATCAAAATTTTTTTATTTTGGAATTTTTTATTAACCAGGATTAAATCATCGAAAGCTTCATGGATATATGTGGAATCTAAGAATGCAGTGCCATTTGACATCTTCGATTTAGCAAACGAACTAGAAGCAGCGTCTTCTGAACTTGAAGAATGTATAACTGCTACTTCAATTTATTTACAAAACATCTATAATTCACTTAAGGAAATCAACAAACTACTCTTGACTCTAATGGATCGAGTCTAGCTACAACATTAGATTTCTTTGTAAAAATAACAATCGTGTCGAAAACATTTCATGTTCGAATAGCGAAAATAAATTGTAATTGAAATAATTTATTTTTTTTTAACACTATTTCAAAAGCTTTTATATTAGGTAAAATTATATTTAATGAAATCCTTTATCGAGTGTTCACTGTTTAATAAGACGCCACAAGTAACAAACTAGCAATCGTCTTGTCATGTGAATTCAAAAGTATGTTTCTACTTGCTTTGTTAGACCAATTAACTTACTTAAAATTGCTTGAATTACTTAAATTTCAAGTAAATTAACTGGTCTAACGAAACTGGTCAGGTACGTGAAAACGTTATAGTACATACATATCAAATCGAAATGGTGTTATATATATACTTTATTTCTCATTTTGCTTTAGAGTTATGTATATAAATTAATCTAAATTTATTATTTCCTTGGAAATACCACGACATAGGTCGTCTAATTTGTTGACCACAGTTGGCTTAACCGAACTTTAGGCTTTCAATGAAAGTGCGAACTTTGTATGGTTTTTTTTGCCACGAATTGTGTAGACTGATAAGCATTTTCTCGATATGAATAACTCTATTTCTTAGTTTTTGACTTTTACTGAATATAGCATTTTAACATCCATTTCTTAGAAAAAGCTAATATTAATCTAGAATGGTTCATTTTATTGAGATAAATCTTTCCTTCACTACAATTTCCGGCTCACCATCTTTATAGAAGGTTATATTTGGTTATACTAGAGATTTTAGAAATCCAATAAGACTCATTGGCCCATTCTGTTACCATATAAAAAATTAGAGGCTTAAAAACCATCTTGAACCTTTTACAAGGCCTAAAATGCTTCTTTCTAGAAAACAAAAGCTTACCATTATCTTCTAGAAAATAACGCTCTAAAATGGTTAACCGACACTGTGCTTGCGCTAGACGATGACTAAGCCGATGTGAACCACTTTCTTTGCTTTTTGCACAACTGCCACAGAAATCATTTAACTGTAGATTCATTCTTCTAGCTAACCGGCTTTGAACCGTTAATAAAACTGCCACAGGACTGATATTATTATGAGGCCTCTCAATGAAATTGCAGGAGTTTTTCTTAATAAAATGGGGCCAACTCGTATATAGATGTATGCATAACGTTGAGTTATCTTTCCATCTTGCAACAAATTGCTCATATATGAAATACTTTTCATCTCACTTCAATAAATATTCTGTTTTTTCTGAATATATTACTAAGCTGCTCCGTTTCACATAATATCTAACTGCTTGGAGGAATTCTCTCTACGACACTATATAGCAATAAAGATTTATTTGACTACGAGAAATGGTAACAGTAATCGAAGATAACTTCAAAGAAGATATGAAGCAGTTTTCGTCTCACAGCAATAATGATTTTGTGTGAACTTTCTGTTATTTGGAATATATTCTGAAGACACTCCGTGCCACCGTATTGTTAACTCACATTCAAAAGTTTTTCTGCTCTACTGTATAGAAGTACAAATTTGCTATCCGAAAAATGGTAGTAATTGCTAAGAGACGTGAAACTCTTAGCAGTCTTTCGATTCTCAATATATTCCTAAGCAATCCCGCTCCACATAATCTCTAATGGCTTGTGGAAATTCTCTCTGTGACCCTACATGGTGTGATGATTTCAAACATGGTGTGAAGCACTTTTCATCTCACAGCAATAAAGATTTGGGAGATTTTTGTACTATTCCGAATGTATTCCTAAGACACTCCATACCATTGAACCCCTAACTCCTTGGCGAAACTCTAGATTCTAGTGAAGAGAAGTATACATTTATTTGTCGAGAAGTGGTAGTAATTAAAGATGATTGCAAAGAATATATGTAGCACTTTTAGTTTTAGCAATAAAGATCTGGACAATCTTTCTGTTGTTTCGAATGTATTCTGAAGGTGCCCCGTGTCATTAGGGATGAACTAATCTGTTTGTAACATTCACTCTACGCCATCGTATATTTAGTGAGAAGTGGTTTTATTTAGTCATCTTTAAATAGTTTATTGGTAATAATATATTTAAATAAAAACTAACATGAATAAATTGAATTAAATGTAAAAAAGAAATCGATCAAACTTTAGAAAGTTTCCATTTAATTAATAATTATTTAGTAAAAGTGTCAACAAAACTCGGAAAAAATGTCGAATCTCTCAGGTTAATCATAAAATTGTCACGAAAGTGTCAGTGCACTTCCAACATGCCAACTAAAATGCATCTGCCATCATAAAAGCACTGCAAACAAACTTAATATGTAGAAAAATAGTAAAAAAAAAACAAATATTCAAAAAAAGTTGCAAAATTCGTTACAAATTCTTCAGAAAAAATGCATATCGAAATGGTGGAAAATTTAGCAAAAATCGACTGACATTTCACACTTAAACTTAAACTGCTCAGGCAAAAGACAATAAAGGAACGTAATTGTTTGTATTAGAAATGCCGTGACACTCGAATTGTGTAGCAATTGCATCCGCAGAGCGACTCCAGCGAGTTACGATACGATCAGAGTCGCTTTGGAGCAGTAACAAGCTTTAATGTCCTTAGTTGCAGCTTCAAAAACTCTAGTTTGTTACAAATTTTGGAAAACAAATGCATTTTATGCAGCAAATCACTAACGAGCGAAAACAACGAGTCCAACAACACCAACCATAATCTTAACAGTGATCGAAACCAAGCAAAAGACCAAGACTTCAGCTGGGTCTACTCGTACCCAGCATCAATGCCGCATCAAGTGATGCAAGAGGTGTGAACTGTACGGCAACACCAATGAGTGCACCAAGTCTTCGCAGTACCGTGAAGTGTCAATTTGTGATTTTTGCAACACCTTTGAACCAAACAAGTCCACACAACAACAATTGATGGCAACTTAAGTGAAGAGAACTTATCAATAATGGCTTCATACTAGTACATTTAGCAATTCTTGCTCACACAAATATTGCAGAAATGTTTAATCAAGTGATGTATTGCATGTATGATTCCTCAGTCAATAACTCTGACACATGCATGGTAACAGTGACATGTCGACAGTACCATAGAGGAATAGAACCAAGTGTGAATTTCTCCAAACGATATCTGTCAAAATTTATTGATTTTCTGATAATTAGTCTACAGATTATATCGTGTTTCCACTAGTGCTTTTCGTAATCGCATTTGTGAAGTATTGAAGAATTCGATTAATCGAAAAGTAAACGAACTCTTCAGAGTTGGAAAAATACCGAAGTCTCCGAATAATTTCACTACGCATAATAATCGCAAATTGGATTTTATTTTAATTGCAACTCCGGAGAGTTCGTTGCTATACGATTAATCAGATAACTTCTCCGAACAGTGCTAGTTTCCACTGTAGCTAAAACTACTTTTGTTAATGAAATCGAGATTTGGTCGTTTCCATTGGCATGAACTGATTTATGCATATGAAATAGCTTGTTTGTGTAGATTTTACATATGAAACATATGACAAATATTTCAAATATTGGTAATTTCCCTTGTGGGAAATTTATTTTTAAGTGTTTTTAAGGGCTCATTTATATGAAAGCTCTTTGTATGACAAATTATCCTCATTAGCGACCTTATTGAGCAAAATTGCCTGCATAGAACAAAGAGAAACTTGGTTTTACATTTACATAGTAACTACAATTCTGTAATATTGAAAATAATCGGTAAAACAAAATTTCATGGATTGTTGATCAAACCTTTTTTTGGAATAAAATACCGTTGAGGCTTAGCAGTACCTCAATAAGCGTCATGGAAGTACTATACCAAGAAAATCAATTAATAGTGACATGCGAGTTGAATTTAAATGCTACAACTGTATTTAATTTAATTGATGACTCTAAATATTCTGTTCCGCTCAAATCTGATGTTATTCCGGAAAGCAACAAAAGCTCTCAAAATAGTTTCGAAAGACATAGAGATCTGCAGATATCGGAAGAGAATATGTTTAAAAATTTATAAGAAAATTTTAACATGCATAAATGGTTTCGGAATGAACGGAGACGTAGGGAAAAATGACGTAGGGGGAAGTATTTGAGAATTAATTCTATGTTTAGTTGATAACAAATAATTAAAAAGAACCAATATATTATCTATCTAATATCTAATACTTCTCCTTGTACAAGCCAATGAAAAAGAAGTCACTTTTTTTAAAAAAAAATTCTCTTACACGAATGTTTATGGAAGATTGCAGCCACTTTTAGCAGATGCAACCCTATTCCAATAATGATCCACAGAGACGAGAGCAGATAGGCTTAGTATTTAGCAATGCTAAATTTGTCAAAGCCAAAAAGCATGGACTAAGTTATTTGGCTGGGAAGTGTTAATTTTGAAAGATGTGGGGTCAACGCAAAAAGTGTGGTAAGTTTAGCTAGGTGTATCTTCTAATCATCTAATCAAATAAACCTAATGAAATAGTAGATAGTCAAATGGATAATTTTTAGTATATTTAACTACAACTTGTGAAGAAATCCAGAAATATAAACTCTATAAATTTATACTTTCTATTCAATTTTTAAATAGGAAACAAAACGATAAAGATTCTAGGCAATAAAAAAAGAGGTTTTAACGTTTATTTGTAAGATCTATCTAACTTTACAAAGAAACTAGTTCCATACTAACTGTGTGGATACTCCAGTATATATGGCATATATATGTATATATCAATGATTTCACATGGATATGTTCACATGACCATAAAAAGGAAAACATCTTTACTACTGAAAGATTTTGTCTTTCAGAAGGCGTGGTAAGCTTCATCATTATGACCAAAGCTTAATCAAAACTCTGTTTTTCACATTCTTAAATTTTTAAATTACATTGAAAACAACAACTTCGCATTTGATGGAACCATGACTGTCGGCATAACATGACCTTTACACTATACAACTAAATCTCTAGAAATAATAGTTGTATTCTTTCTGTTCTGCATTTAAAGTACATTCTGTTGAAGTATCAAGTAAGCTTGGACTTCATTAAAGATGATGAAATGTGCCTTAATACAGCACTTTTTGTTATTTATACATACAATTTTAAAATTA